CTAGGGTTCTATAGTAATATAGGGAGACTACAGTTAAAAAGGAAGTACTGTGTATCTTTGAATAGCTAATTGAGATGATGTTGAATATTCCTAACACAAAGAAGTAAGAAATGTTTGAGGTGATGTATGTACTAAGCATCCTGATATGATCGTTGCATAGAGTATGAATGTACCCAAATATCATATTGTACTCCATAAATATATACAATTAACATGGATCAATTAAGAAAAATAAATTAAAAAGAGAGAAGAAAAGAGAGAAATAGTAAAATAGTGATTAACAAAGACAGGGAAAGGGAGTGGGAGGGAGGCCAGGTAAAAGCTGATAGACTGGTACAAAGTTACAAAACTACAGTTAGATAGGAAGAATAAGTTCTGGTGCCCTAGGGTGACAATGGCTAATGATACTGTATTGTATATTTCAGGATAGCCAGAAAAGAGGACATTGAATGTTGCAATCATAAAGTAATGATAAATGATTAGGTGATAGATACTCTAACTATTCAAATTAGATAGTTATACAATACTTGCATGTATTGAAACAACAAACGATAACTCATAAACATGTACAATGAAAAAAATAAAATAAACATTAAAATAAATAAATAAATGTGATAGCTTAATCCACTGCAAATGGAGTTGTACAAGGTGGAAAAACATAAGACTATGCCATGAAATTAGTTGACTATAGTGCTGGGGAAAAAAATGCAAAAATAACTTTCTCATAAGCCTTTTTTGTCCTTGAAGTAATATTTTGTCTTTGAAACAATGTTTGCTTGTTGCACTGGTCTGGCCTCTGATCACTGCTTGCATTTTTGGCTTCGGTAGCTTGTAGCTCGCCCATCTGCCTAGACCACATGAGTGCTGAGAAAGCAAAACCTAAAATCTGGAGAAGTTTGTCTATATAGGCCCTGTGGGACCTGGGCTCAGGATCCAGATTTTTTCAGGCGTTAGTCTGTCTGNAAAAAAATAACAAATGTTGGCAAGGATGGGGAGAAAGGAGAATTCTTATATATTTTTGGTGAGAATGTAAATTAATATAGCCACTATGGAAAACAGTATGGAGATTTCCTCAAACAACTACATATAGAACCACTATATTATCCAGCAATCCCACTATTGGGTATATATCCAAAGGAGTCTAAATCATTATGCCAAAAAGACATCTGCATGCACATTTATCATGGCTCTATTCACAACAGTCAAGAGTTGGAACCAACCAAACTGTCCTTCCAGAGATGACTGGATAAAGAAAATGTGGTACGTATACACAATGGAACACCATTCGGCCATAAAAAAAGAATGAAATACTGCCATTTGAAGAAACGTGGGTAAACTTGGAGAAAATCAAGTTAAGTAAAGTGAGCTGGGCATACAGAGAGAAATACCATATGTTTCACTCTATATGTGGAAGCTAAAGAAGTTGATTTCATAGAAGCAGAAGGCAGAATAGTGGTGACTAGAGTTTGCTGGGAGTAAGAGAAAGGAGGATGGGAAGAGTGTAGTCAGTGCATACAAAATATTACAGAGATAGAGAGAATGGGATCTAGGGTTCTATAGTA